GGGGGGGGGGAGTAAAGGGCGGCTGGTCGATATAAGGCTGACAACCTCACAGCCATCTGCGAGCTGATTGTCTAGAAAATGTGGGAACCTCAATGTTTCACAACCCTATGGGCCTCCATGGCCTGTTAAAAGAATACCTTTTCTTTACTTTTTTATGATTAAAAAACATTTTACACTTTTAGTTTTAAGTGATATTTCACTCTTTCCTTCATTTGAATGAATATATTGTACGGTGCTTAGACCTTTTTGAAAGCTTGTTCTTGCTTATACTACAATATAAATATGATAAATTTGGCAGATCAATTATGATATCATTGTTCTATGAGAAAGAATTAAGATTAAACTATTCGTGCACTTTGTACCTGCTTCAGGTCAGATGTGTAATTGAGTGAATTACCATATTATGAATGAGAAGGCAATTTTAATCTCTAACACTTGTGAAGAACCTATTGTGTTATATATTCATTATTTTTTATATTTCTTTGTTTATATGTTTCTTCACAAGGGAACAAAGCCACATGAATCTGCTTTTTGCCTTTCATTAAATATGAAAGAGATTTCAATGGCTGCTGAATCTATCATAATCATAACGTATTCTTCAATGTGATAAAACAAAGGATCATGTAGACTGAGCAGAAGCAAAGAAAAATTTAATTTTGAAACAGATGTTTTTCATCTTCCTTATAATTATGTGGTCAGAAGAGCAGGTTTCTTAGGCATAGAAATACGAGTATATCACTAGACAGTGCTTTCAAAGACACTACTATATATGAATTTGGTGTATCAACTATGGTATTCCACATCAGAAGCTTAAACTTCAGTTTTCTAATATCACTTGCTGTAACTAGGTAACATGGATTTTTCACTCATTATCTGAAATATTTTGAACATTATTGTTCATCTTCAGAGGCAAGTCATTGAAAGGAAAAGTTAATTATTTGCTTAGAAGATAACATTTACATAATATATACAATATAATGCAGTAAATCTTCTCTAGGATTAAAGTAATCTCTCTTAGTATTTGCTTACTGCTTTATGGTTTTTGTGAATGCGTTTTTACAATAATATATTCTACCACTTACTTACTTACTTACTTACTTACTTACTTACTTACTTACTTACTCATGGAGCTGAGCCCTTCTTGAGGAGCTGCCAATTCTGCAGCTACTCAAGAATTTCCTGGCATTTTATGGAACCTGAAGGTTCATTTTCGTGTTCACAAGAGCCCTCCATTGGCCCCTAACCTGAGCTAGATCAATCCAATCCATACCATCCAATCCTGTCTCTCTAAGATCCATTTTAATACTGTTCACCCACCTACGCCTTGGTCTTCTCAGTGGTCTCTTTCCTTCCAACTTTCCCGCTAATATCCTATATGCATTTCTCCTCTTCCCATTTGTGCTACATGCCCTGCCCACCTCATCCTCCATGGCTAAATTGTAGCAGCTTAAGCTATGGTTTGATAAAGAATGTTCCAAACTGTTAGATACAAAAATACAAGCCAAATTGCAATGGCTACAGGTTCCAAGCCAAAAGAGTAATAATCAAATCTTCCATTAGCTGCATTCCAAGACAGTTCCTTTGCTGTTGAAGGTTGGTCTCTATCCAGAATTTACGCTGCTATCTTCTCAATTTACTTGCACTGATAACTATGTGAGCAGCAGCAACTCCAGCAACACCAAAGAATAGCTTTTTTGTTAAATAATTTGTCCCTGTGTGAATGCCAAGTTTCCAGCACTTGCTGCTTGTCTTTATACTACATAAGTACATGGAAATATTGAGCAGCCGAAAGTTCCTTATTGTTGTTTCAGTGTGGATCGGGGGGCAATGATTGATATCAAAATACAATGGGCACTGATGTCATAACCCCACCTCCAGTCTCCTTATTAACACATATATAACATTCTGCCATTTCATGCATGCTCCAGAAGAAACACTTGGAAATAGTTACATAGCTGCAGGTTTTCCTTGTGCTCAGCTATAATAATGGGAATATTTTTTTTTCTTTCTAGTCTATTTTGATGTGGTTATTGAAACAGAAACTTGGATCATGGTGTGGTATAATATAGTCATATTCTTAGCAGACTTGCAGTGAATGGTTTGAAAGTTACAATGGAGCATTAAAGCATTAAAAATATAGTCTTCAAAGTATCAAATAATAGAAACCTTGAAAACTGTGCTGCAGTAGCTCTTCTGAAAAGTTAAATGGGACTGAAGAAGTGGATGTTCTCAAAACACTCAACATCCAAAATATCTAGAATGGTGTTTGCAAATTATATGTTATATCATATTCCTTATTTGTTTATTGGGAAACTCTTTGTGTTGAAAGATGGTATAATATTTGTTAACCATGCAGTTGTTCAATGAACTTATCCTAAAATAGCATCATCTTGGTTCACTAACAGAGTAATTTCATCCAGAGAATGTAGGGTATTGCCTTCTATATGAACCCCACACTAAGTGTCTTGTTTTTTGCCTTGATTATGTCGTTTATGAAAGATTTGGTTATGAAAACTATCTGTTGGTATGTGATGCCATGTAATCTGGCAAGAGTGCTGATGTTTTGGAGGAATATTCTACAAAAATGCTTGCAAACTTCTACCTGACTATATCGGTAAATCACAAAAGTTGGCACTTTTCATGACCATATCTTATCTGACACAAGCTCTTGACAAAGATGAAAACCCAGTAATTAAATTGACAATTGTAGGATTTTTATGCAGTGTGCATTTGTTTCTTTCAGACATTCAGCTATGAAGAACAACAAGAAGCAGTGAACAACTTCAAATCTGTAGTTTGCTCTCACCTCAAAGCTGCAAATACAAATCCTGCAGACTGCAAATCCAGTTCATTTACTGCAGTATCAAGTATCCTAGTGGTCACAGTTGCATCACTTTTCCTTGCTACTACTGCCTCTTAGTTTTATGTACACATAATCATAGCCTTAGGATTCAACACAGTGAAATTCTGTCAGAAATTTTAAGTATAAGTAAGCTAGTGATAAAGTGATGAAACGAAGTACACTTCTTAATAAAATGCATCCTGTTATGTGTTATAAATAAGGTATATAGCTATATATAAAAGTATGCAGTCTACACAACAATATTCTGTATTAAAATGAGTTTAATAATAACATACTCTAAAGCTTCGCTTATAATAATTAAAATAACTGTTACAGATCGGTCCAAATAAACAACCTTTTGGATAACATACAGAATAATGAGCATGAGCTCCACAAGACGATAGTAAGGTCAAGACCACATGACCTCACTTATGCAAGAAGATCCAAACAAGCAGGTGCCCCACACTGTAGTTCCTTCTACCACCAAAAAACCATGTCAACACGTGGCGGTCACAAAGTTTTAAAGAGATTTATCACAAAATATTTCATTTCCATTTTTGTACAATTTTAATTTTTATGTTTTAATCTTTAGTTTTTAATTTTTAAATTTTAACTGAAAGATTCAATTTATTAATTTAAAAACTCTCAAAAGCACAATAAGGATCATTATTGAAGAATTAGATGCAAATATTTAGAAGTAATTGAACAACTGAGACTGGTATCATTGTATGCCTGATGATGATCCAGTATAAGGATTGAAACATGTAGAATCAGTAAAAACCAATGTTGATACAACAGTGTCTACTTTGTTTTTAAATGCAGAATATTATTGTGTAGACTGCATACTTTTGTGTGCATTTAAAGTACACTTGTTTGTGGTATTCTTTTAGTTTTGTGTGATTACAGATGTAACTATTTTGAAATTAAATTATTTAGTATCTCACAAGTAGTTTTTTTGTTATGTACTATTTCATTTTAATTGTACAACACACTGTCAGACAAGAAAACAATTTGTGGAATATACATGTACAGCATGAGAAGCTGGTACAGCATAGATGGTATAGCGATTGGCTATGCGCCAATGATGACCGAGGGGTCAGGGTTTGAGATGCAGTAGAGTCAAGAATTTTCACTTCTTCACATTGCCCAGACTGGCTCTGGGGCTCACCCAGCCACCTACCTTTCCTCAGTGGTAAAGTGGCATGGATGTAAAAAAAATTGTTGCATGTAAGACGGAATGTCAGAGGCATTTGTTAATTAATTAATAATGTGTAACAGGATGCCACAACATAATATTATGAACACGGTTACCTTTATAATGAAACCTGAATATTAAAAAATAAATACAATTTGTAAACTGGAACATATCTCAAATCTAAATACAGAGTCTCTGTAAGGTTAGGAAATGTTGTAACAGGTGCAATGCAGAATTTCAAGAGTTAGTTTTTGTTTAAATGTTAATTAATATCCACATCTGCTCTATTTCAAGTTTTCACACTTGCATAATAAGAAACAAATAGTTTGAAATCAAGTTCAGGAAGAACAAAGAAAAAAGCAAAACTAAAATCATTTTTATCATCTTTTTGTTCTATTATGTGCTACAGAAGTACAGTTTTATTCAGGTATTGAAATCTTAACCAATTCTTAGCAACATGTAAGAAATTTAAAGTCTCATGTTGCTGCTCTGAACACTGAATTTGCTTTATAATGCAGAATAAATATTGCAGCATAGCATCCAGAATATTCTGAAGAAGGCATTCCAGTGTTGTCAGTACTCATATTTGGCAGCCAGGTGGTGCTGGAGAACCAAGGTATCTACAGGCTATGCCTCGGAAGTTTTGCAGTGCATCTCTCTGATCTTGTTGACTATATTTCTGAAATAATATATTCATTTCAGATAATTATAACACTAACAGAAAAATATTTTTATATTTTTCTAATGTCACAGTTTGGTTTTTTGAAGGTAATGAAAAATAATGCTGTAACATCAGAATTATGGACCTCACTTAATGACACAGTTGCAGAAGAAACAAAGAAATAAAGAAACCAAAATAATAATAAATATGACAATATATGTACAACTATTAAGATGTTGCAATGCTGTTTCGTTTTCTTTTATGTCTCAGCATGTTTGTGATTTTGCTAATAATTAGAAGTTTTCACTCAAGCACAAACTTTACATTTTAGAAACATTTGTTTCTCTTGGTTCACTATAAGATTTGATCATCAGCAGGTAAGACATACACAAATGTAGCATGTTTCTGAGTAAGCCATAAATGCAATTAAAATTAAACAAATTGGTAATTAGATCAGATAACAAAACAATGAAGTATATGTGTATGCATGTTCGCATGTGTGTACAAAAACAGAAATAAAATAAAGAGGTAGAAAATTATGGAAGATTTTCAAAGTAGAAATATTCTTTCATGTGTGATGAATCTAGTAAAAAGTGTTTAAGCTTAAAAGTTTAAAAATTAAGAGGTTTCTGAGTTTCTTTTTACTTTGCTTGCGTTTAGCATGACACTCTTCAGTTTATCTACATACATGTTGCTTTCTTTTGTGGCTTTTATGTATTTATTTGTAAGACTTACGTCTGTAGTGCTAAAATTTTTTGTTTCCATATCAGCTCTTATTTGAGTTTTGGGGTAATATTTTGATATCTTGATTCAGTTGATATACATATAATCAAATAGTTTTTGCATTGTATGTATCTTTATGGGCAACAGCCTGTGTTACTGTTAATTGAAGTATGACTGTGGGACACAATCAAACCGAATGTAATACAGAATGTTGATAACAAGAAGGAAAGCCAAAATTCTGTAGAATATTTAAGTAAAAGATAAACCAGACTACATCATATCTTTGTAGATTAGGCTAGAAGCCTATTTTGTCATATCATTCACTAATTGGAATATGATGGAATGTTTCAAAACCCATTCTGTCTACATTCGTTTCCATTGCTGGGCATTTTTGGTTCAACGTCATTGCTTGGTGCCTTTGTAAGATTAAACACAATCCAAAAGCATAAACTGTATGACTATACGTTCACACCACAGTGCTATGGGGTTTTAGTATCATACTGTAATGCTGTACTGTATTTCACACACAAAAATAATTACCATTCTTTTTCCTTTCATCTGTAAATTGCAACAAGCCTTCACTTGTAATCATAAGGTACTCTGATAAAGTCTTAGAATGAGTGCTGGTTATACTGTGTGAGGGTTTTCATTATTAAGGAAAATAATGAAAACCCTCCCTCCATGTTACTTTCAGAAGATAGTGATAGTGTTTTGTTTTCTTACTTTGTTGAATGTGATGGTGGGAACAAATCCAAGTCCTAAAGGAGCTAGTTTTAAGGTTTCTTCTTGTGCCATTAGCTGCAAAGTCGTGCCAACTGTAGACTTGGTGCAGCTATCAACGGCAGCCCAGCTGATTCCAACTTTCTCGGAGCACTGAAAAAATGTCGGGTTATATCATCTGTGGTGTTCATTAAGGTTTGACAAATGTCCTGATTATAAGTGAATGACAGGAGTACATTAAAGAAAATTTATCCTTTGCAGTTTTCATGATAAAGGACGAATATATCACTCTAATAATATTCCTAAAATGAAATTACCCATACATATTCTTCATATGCATAATTTGTACATTAAATATAACTTTTATGACTTGTTAATCTTCAGTAGAGGGAGTACATTTCTTTCAGGGCTTACTTTGTTCCGTTTCATAAATTATACTTAAATTTGAACAAACACACTACTTGTAGTTTTGTTTCTAGTAAATATGGTATGTGAGAGTAAGAAAATTTTAAATTCTTGAGGGTGAGAAATGGTTTCTCCCATGTATGACATCTAGAAGCATACTCGTTTTCCTTCTTGGCTTCCATCCACACTGCTCATCACACAGTACACAAACTCCATTTGTGGCCCTGAAGAGTTCAGCAGACTCAGTGCACATGACTGCATTAAGTTGCCCCTGCACTCTCGTTCTCCATGTTGACACTTGAAACCATCAAATCTGTTTCCCTGCAAACAAACGTTGAAATATGCAGAACAGCATTCATTCTGAAACATAATCTCCTGCTTTGGAGGGGCATACAAATTGTGTGAAAATAGAGAATGAAAGAAGAATGTTTGGAATACTGGAGGAATGAAGTTTAGCAGCAATGATACCAAATAATGGAGAACTTGATAGTTTATGTACTTCAGTTATCCCAAAGAAGTCATAATGGGATTGATGTGTAGTTTGCATTGGAGAAATATGAAATTAAAGCAGAAATTTATGAATAAATGTTTTATAATATGACCTCTGGATGACAGTGAGTTTAGTGCAGCAAACAATCATTTTGTAGTGCCATGGTGGTAAGTAATACGAACAATGCATTTGATATTTGAAGTTGTAAGGGCAATGAAAATTTAGATTATGGTGTTCTTGGTTGTGTATGTCAGGCGTAGTCTTCAGTTGACCTATGAAGCTACATGATATACCCCCATAAGGCCACAAGTTAAATTGTTTCTTGTCATGCACTGACTTTCTTGCAGTGTCAGTTAGGAGGTTAATGTACAGGGATGTGTTAAAAACATTTCCTGCCACAGCAGTTAACAAAATCTTGACTATGTATGCATGCAGTGTATTACAGTTTCACGTTCATGCTTCTTTATTTGAAATTAATATTATAAGGTAATTTATGAAATATTACAGAATCTGTAAAGAGTGACAGAATAGCGTATCTGTATAAAACAACTGGAGAGGTTTTCCATTCAATTTTCAATGGGCTCTACATTAACAATAATCATGAACGCCAACAACATAACATGAATCTTCTTAGTATTATGGACAAAGACAGATCCAAAAAATATCTTCATACCCTTCATATCTTTGATATTTTCAGCTATTTAGAATTATTATGGGCATGTCCTATGAAGCTGATCACAGCGGCTGCGCGGTCTAGGGCATGAACCGTCTCCACCCATTCAAACAGTGGGATCATGGGTTTGAATCCCACTTGAGGCATCGACATCTCCATGCATTTATGTTGTGTTTGTGTTGTTCTGTGTGTAGGTAGCAGCTTTGTGATGGGCTGATCCCCCATCCTACCGACTGTGCATAGGTTTGAGAAAATAAAAAAAGATGCCAAATTCCAAAGGGCTGCAGAGCCATAGAGAGGGGAGGGGGAGGTGGGATGGAGGGGGTGGATCTGATTTTATGTAAATATTTTATCAGTTGTCCTGTTGGGATCACTTCTCTTGACTGGATAATGGGCGCACTCAGACATATTCTTGTGCTTCCAATGCATCTCAGACTTATTAAAATACTGCACCTGGCACTATTTAAAGAAGGAAATCAAAAGAATAATCTCAGCTTCTGAGACAGTATCCTCTATAAAATGCATTGTTTAATAAGCAGTCTTCAATGAATGTCATTAATACATTGTTCGGTTTTTAAGTGCATACTTCTTTTTTAACCCACATTCTAGATCCAGTCAATCTGTATGAAAGTGCAACTGGAACAGGTTTCTTTCCATTGCTTTTTTCATTTCTTTAAGCAATTCCTTTTGCCACTCTCTCCTCAGGATGTGTGTTAATGGGTGCGGTAACTGATTCTGAATCATCAGGCAACCTATGAAGTCAGTAAATAGCAGAGCAGTATATTAAAATGAATACACATATTTTCTAAATTACTTTCAGTTCTATTTTATATAGTTCATTGTTTCACATGTTCATTATTTTTCAGATATTAATCTCTTGTTTCAAAGTGAATTGTACTGAAAATATCACATTGAAATCAGACATTGTACTTCCTTCTCTTCCCTTAAATATTTAAAAATATCCAAAACAGTTTCAAATGAAAATTGCTTATATTAATTTTTCTTTCACAGGACAGTGCTGGAGGTGCAAATCCTTGTCATGTTAGTAGACTGGTGGTGTGCTGTGTTGTCATGTATTATAGTTTTCTCTTCCACAACATGTTTTGACCTTATAAGTAAATGATGTATGTAATTGCTGGACTGCATTATTTTTTAATTTATTGTTCTAAAATGTTTGTAGAACTTTATTAAAATTGGGTAAAAATTGTAATTGAATTTGGTTAAAATAATTTAAAATATTTCGCTTTGTTGATGTTTCCTTCTATTATTCTGTTGTTCCTTCAATTGTGGTGTGGACTGTATCTGTGAGTGTGGAGTCTTGATTTTATATCCAGCAGTTATGTTGTATATGAAGGTTGCTGATGTTCAATATAATGTACATAGTTTTGAGTGGTTTTCGTGAATGGTTGCCAATATACAAAAATGGCAATAAATTGCACCTCCAAGGCTACCCCTGTGAACTAAATGATTAACCAGTGCAACAGGATGCTGAAATATAATATTAATTCAATGTGCAATTCTTGTTAGGCCTACATACAAATGTTTCATATGATGAGTTTCTTTAGCCAGTGTTATTTAATTATTTTTTAGCAGTAACAGTTTGCCTTGAACAAAGACAATTGTTGGAAATTAATTACTCCAAAATTGTTGGACAGTGGATGGTATGGAGCAGATGAAAATGAAATATATGTAACATAATTTGTTCCACACCAATATCTAACCTATTTCAGTTACAGAAACAGCTGACTCTAATACAGCACACTATTCTTTATCATATCTATGATTTATCTAATAAAATCAGTTGGGTAAAGTAGATATATGAAATGGAATTAGGAGATGCACATAATATTTCTTATGGGCTGTGAAGCATTTTGAAATTTGAAAAATGAAATTTTTGCAGAAATAAATAACAAGTTCTTTGTATTCATCTTAGGACTTTTTAGATGTACTCACAGAAGATTTCCCAAATGGTACAAACTCTAGTATAAGATGGTCCCTTAAATCCTTCCAAGCAGGATACAGCTGGAATTTAATGAATCGCTGACTGTCAGGGCACAGTGTTTCATAATAGACTGTGACATGTACTTTCTGAAAAAACACCAGAGGCCACAGTTACAAGACTTAACATAATGACAGCAACATGTTATTACTTCATATCAGTATAATAGCCAAATTGTTGTTATTGCTATTGTTGTTGCTGTTGATATTATTGCTGTTGCTGCTGCGTATTATTGTTTTGATGTCGTGCCACATCATTTTCCTCAGTTAATTAATATCATACCTACTTGACCAGTAGACATGCATCAGTTCTTATTGTTGGTACACGTTCATATAAGATTATTATGAAGTCTGATATTCCACAAAGAACAACTTTATTTTCCTTGACCCTTCATATTTTGTTAAAGATATTTGTTGATCCATTCATATTTCCAGCTATTTCTTGTTTGCAGACAGTCTTATGATGTATTATTTTATCAAGAATGTTGAAGTAATAGGTCTTTGGATTGTGATAAAGACTCTGTTGAGGAATTGTGTTTAGTTAATGGTGTGAAACTAAGCACTGATAAAAAACTAAGTCATAGTATTTACTTGTAAAAGTGACAGTGTTAACTTCCATTACAAATTATGTAACAAATTACTAGCATGTTCCCAGTGTGTTAGATACCTCAGAATCCTCTTTGATTTCAAGCATTACTTCCATAGCCATGTAGAATATATTTTCTCACCAGGCTTAAAAATGTTAGGATTGATTCGTAACATTACATTTTCCTTCCTTTTTTGTATAATTTTCTCATACGGTGAAAACTTGAGTCTGCTTCTTTCACCTGGAAAACCACTACATTGACTAATTCATAAACTCTGTAGCCTCAGTCTGCAAGCGAACTATATCGACCGAGCGACCACCGCTTGTCAGCGAAGTTAGTGTCAACTTTTGTGGATAGAGGGTGTCATGAGGTCAGCGCACTGGATCCCCAAGGCCGTTAATTTCGGTTTTGTAGACCGGAGCCGCTATTTCCAGGCCCACTACTTCTCAGGAAATCTGGCAGCACCGGGAATCGAACCCGGGACCTCTAGATCTATAGGCAGGAATTCTGACCACTAGACCACAGAGGCCATATAAACAAAACCCCCCAAAAAAATCGAAGAAAATTTTCAGCCTAATGTTATAGTAGATTTATTGTTAACACTAGTGTTAATAAATATGATGACATATTACGTGTAGTTAGAAACTTTCCAGTGTTTTGATCTGTTGTTGAGCACTTTAATAAATCAATTGCTGTTGATTTTGTTATTGTGCTCATACTGTAATTGGCCTTTGGGCTGTTAATTTTTCACATTAATAAATAAGAGCTGGATCAAATTCAATTTAATTATTAATGTAGTAGTGGTGGTGGCAGTAGCAGTACAGCAGCAGCAGCAGTGGAAACGGTGGCGCTTCTGGTGAAAGTAGTAGTAATCATGGCGGTGGCGGTGGTGGAGGTGGGGGTGGTAACAGCAAAAACAGCAGCAGTAGTAGCATTTATAGTATAAATCACAAGTAACAGAACCAGCTGGTTAATATTTTAGAACAATGTTTCAAAATTATTTTGATCTTGAAGTTTTTTTGTGACTAATAATAATTGAGATCTCGCATCCTTTCAGCAAGTGTATGTATCGCACATGTAGCATGTTATTGAAATGTCTTCTTTTTGAACTATACACAAGTCCTCTGTCAGTATGGACAGTAGAGGCTTTATAAAGCAGATCACATTATCCAACATATCTTATGCTACAACGGCAGCTTAGTCACTTGAACGGTCGTAAGCTTGACCGCCACCAAGTTTAAGCCTCTTATATTTTCTGTGTCTGGTTTCGCTACTCCACTGTTGCTGCTCTTCTTCGCTACATAGCCTGGGCGCGGATCGTATAGAAAACGCCGCGTTCTCTATTATTGCGTCAGTATCTGTTGCCGCGGAAACGTGTTTACCGTGCCACTGCCTAACAATAATCGCCTCTACTCCTTCAAATTTTGTCACAATATTATGTAAACCGACCGAGCGAACGCCGCTTGTCGGCGAAGTTAGTGCCAACTTTAGCGGATAGAGGATGTCGCGTGGTCAGCTCAACGAATCCCCGCGGCCGTTACTTTCGGTTTTCTACAATGGAGCCACTATTTCCTTGAAAGAGGTCCTTAACTATCCTCACGAGGCTGAGTGGACCCCGTTCCAGACTCAGTACTTCTCAGAAAATCTGGTAGCGCTGGGAATCTAACCCGGGCCTTTGGATCTCTAGCCAGGGACTGTGACCACTTGACCACAGAGGTGGTCGGTCGGTATAAGTCGCTTGCGGATTACAGGCAACGGAGTTTGTTTTTTGTTTTTTTTATTATGTAAACCAATAACTTTAAATGTAACATTTATTCTGCTCCCAGATAAATTTTTCACACATAATATCAAAGATTCTTACCGTAATTTTTTAAATTATATATTTAGGTACAATATTTAACGTAGAAGTTATTGTAATTTGTATAATCTAGCTCTATACAAAATTTTGCACCTTTAATTCAACTGTTCATTAGTTATCACCATGCAACCGTAAACCAAATAAAGGTTTCTAGCCTCTCTTTTGTTGAGACACACACACAAGCACCGTAATATGTTGTTTATTCGTCAAAGATCTGTTGCGGTACGTAATATCAAGGAGTATGTTAAATGTCACTATTGTTACTGTCACATGAAAGAAACTCCTGCGTCGGTCTTGCAGGTGTTACTAACTGCAGGAGATTAAGAAATATGAGTTTGCGGTGGCGTCAATTGTACAATGCCCATCTCAATTTTCATTAGCATCCGTTCAGCGGTTCTAGATTAGAAACATCCTGTCAGACAGACACACGCACACAGCCAGCTCTATGTGCGTTCATTTCTTTCACGACGTGCAAACAATGCCTAACAAGCGGTAAGCTGTATTCTGGTAGGCTATATTGTCTTCAGTGGTGACGACCGGACTTTCTCCTCTGGTAGGGGGCAGAACATTTGTTTACAACTTAGTTTTAAGCCATTTACGATTATTTACTGATCGCCATGAAGTATTGAGGATATAATATATATTAAAACGTTTCCAAGATATATTTTTATTGTTATTTGGTCTTTTTTCTTGCTTTATTCAGGTATGAGCCTTTTTCTCAAAATTCCAGTGGGAGGCCTGGTTTTCCCTCCCTCCGGCGCCTATGATCGTTATTTTTTCACGGCACGACTTTTTCCATTTTACATCAAGAGAGCTTGAAGAAACAAAATTCCTTCATAAAATGCTTGAGAAGAATAGAGCACGCGTTCCAGAATTGTTTCGAAATGAAAACAGAAAACAACGCTAGTATGGACGAATGAAGAATGGAGATGAACAGATTTTCTTTTTCAAGGAAACTATGCCGTTATTATTAGTATGTGTATGCCACTCACCTGTTTACTCTCGCTTCCTGTTACAGCCAAGAAAATTACACTAAAAAAATAAATACATTTCACGGATACAGTCATTGTAACTCTCTTCTCCTCCACTTATTTATATATATTTACGAAAAACGACTTCTAAGACTCCGGCTTTTCACACCAAAGAATACTTATTACGGTGTGTGAAAACGAATGCTACAAAAGTTGTAAGAATCTCATCTGTGACAACAAACAGGTTGTATGAGTATTCATAGAGTGTATAATGAGGACACGTTTGTTCACCTGCGCTGTAGGTGCTGCGGACGTCACGAACTGACGGACACGCATCACACTTTGGTTGCAGCTGTGTGCAGAGAGAGGATTCCCCCCGCTACGGTAAAAGGGGGCGTCCTTGAAGGACACTTTCGTACGAAGGCAGTAGAGCAGTATTGTGAAGTACAGATTTTGGCATACTGCGAGTTAAAACAGACATGATCTATCTTCTGGGATATAATGCAGTGCAGTCCGTTGAAAGTCAATCGACGTTTCGGCGGAACATATCGCCTCCATCATCATGATCGAAGAATAAACCAGGCGAGATACCAGCGTGAAAGCGGGCAGCAATTGCAAGGCTTATTCTTGGACCCTGAAGATTGAGGCGATATGTTCTCCCGAAACGTCGGTTGACTTTCAACGGTCTACATAGTGCAGTCGGTGTAGCGACTGGCTACGGGGTGGACGACAGAGGAGTCGGAGTCCCGGCAGAGTTAAGAATTTTCTTCACGTCGTCCAGACCGGCTCTGGGGCCCACCCAAACTCCTATCCAATAGGCACCAGCGGTTCTTTCCTCATGTCGGGTCGGGAAGCTGAACGCTCACCTCCAACTAGTGCATAGGTGAAGAAAATGTGGATCTATATATCCACTACCCAGTACACCTTCATGGCTTAATGCTTAATTAGTTAAGCACAGGGACAACTTTACCTTCTTTACCCTGCGTTATATCCCAGAAGACGTAAACTTCATAACCACAACTGTGTGAACCTATTCGTTTGTTCTGAAAGTCATCTTGAAGCATGGCTTTACTTTGCAGCCACGGCGAGTTAACATTTCTCTGGAGGAATTAAGGGAGCAATGTGCCAGGATGGTAGGTTTTGGGGCCGAGATTCTTAAGCGGGAACACCGAAATACAGAGCAAAATTAATAACAAGTGCTGAACAATGTCGTCGCACTCAGACTTTTAGACTTCATAATTCATAACATCTGTTTTAGTCACAAAAATGTACATTATGGGTGCCTCCATGACAATAATAAACGAAATATTAATGTTACTGCTTTGATTATGGACTTACATCGCCGTTGTTAATACTGTTATGTTCTACGGGAATAACCCCCCCCCCAACATTCGTGAATACAGAATTGGTGCTGCTAGCAGACCTTACGGACGAAGACGATCAGTTAGACCTGTCTCTCATGTACAGAATTGAAGTAGGTCATTTATCTCAAGAAACCGGTTATAACGGTGGTCCTACACTTGCTTTTATATCTGGAGATTATTTTGTTCTCACTACACTGTAACTTACACTTTGCATTAGACTTAATTACTATTAGTCTTAGTCACTATATCCATGAGGTTAATGAATTGCTCCCGAAGTGAACGGAGTTCATGGAGGTAGGCCTAGGTCCACAGGGGCTGCAGTGCCAAGGGGGGAAAAAAATGAATTGCTGTGCTTATTGTATGTTTACATATATTTTGGGTCGGTCACGGTAGCCGAATGGTCAAATCTAAGGCATGTATTGTCTTTGCTCGCTCGGAAGCCGGGATCGTGTGTTCGAGTCCCACACAAGGCATGGGTGTTTGGTATGTGTATGTGTTTATTCTGTGTTTGTGTTGTCCTACCGTCTGTAAAATGATCATGAAACTGAAAATCAGAGGCCAGGGCTCAAGGGGGCTGTAAAGCAAATAAAAAGGAAGAAAATATATATTTTGGAATGTACGTAGTTTATCCAATTAATGAGCCCCTTGACTTCCTTCGAATTTTTCATTTTTAATATTTCAACCAAAGAGCGTAAAGTTTATTTTATTTTATTTTATTTATTTTTTTACATTTTTCGTGAGTATATTACGCGGTAGCGTAGTTGGTTGAGGCACTATGCTACAAGCCGGAAGGTAGCGGGATCGAATCCCAATGAGGTGGATTATTTCAATTGACCAAATCCTTCAAGCCGCACTATGGCCCTGGGGTCGACTCAGCCTCTAACAGAAATGAGTACCAGGAATTTTCCTGGGGAGTAAAGCGCGGCCGGAGCTTAAGGCTGATAACCTTACCGCCATCTGGAGCCGATTGTCTAGATGATGTGGGAGCCTCAACGTCTCACAACCCTATGGGCCTCCACGGCCGGATAAAGGGATACCTTTACCTTTTACATATATTTTGGAATGTTATTTATGAGTCCCTTGATTTCCAGCGAATTTTGAATTTGTAATATTTCCGTCAACGAGCGTAAAGTTTGTTTTTCGACGTTTTTCGTGAGTGTATTAATTAATTCAGCACTTTCTTTTGTTAGTCGAGGGCACTCCAAGGAGATATGTCCCCCTGTCTCTATTCCTGTCTCACAATCCCCAGCTGCTGATAGCCCTATTCGCTCACAGCAGTAGTCACATAGCTGCGGAATCTAGCGATGATTCTTCCCTCGCAAGTGTTTTTCATTTTGAAAAATAAATGTTTATACAAAAAAGGCCTAGACAATGTCCACCCGGCCCTCTGTAGCACAGTCATAAAACATCTTTATCTATCGTAGCGGTCGCCCTGCGATTTTCGAATATACCTCTTAACTCTGAAGGAATACTGTTATTAGTTTGTGCATTTACTTCTATTTCTTTGTTTAAATACATTTAAGAATTTTGTTTATGAAGTGACAGACGCCTTGCAGAAATCTGTTTCCTCTAGCATTACGAGCTCAGTAAGTGACTTTAGGTATTCTATTTTGCTGTTCTCGGAAAAAATGTTCATCATTGTTGCCCTTTCATGCTTTTTTTNGAGCTATCAACCAATTAAAAATGTACAATGTACATTATCTTTGATCAAAGTTCAAAATTATTTCTGTTTTTGGTCTTGTAGTTTAATGGCACTCAGCATACAAGAGCTGTGTAATGTTGAGTATAAATTATTTTATAAGTTGAATAATTTTGGTGTTTCTACAAAATTATTAGGAGCTGCATAAGAAATTCCCATGAGATCGATCACTACCGATCCTTCAATCATTACACTAATTGATATCCAAAATGGCATTTCGTTTAGTGGTAAGTGGTGATGACACTGAAGTTTTCATCAATGATAGTAGTGAAACAAGTGAGTTAACGAGTGCTTGTCGTCATAAATTTAAAATATAACTCAGATCAGCACAAAATATTATTGAACTGCTACAAGAAGAGATAAACACTGTACCGTAAGTACATGTTACTTCCACAGTTCGAACCCCCCTCCCCCCAAAAAAAGTTATTAATCTCTGCTGGAACATCTGGCTAACCTGACTTAGGTTTTTTCATGGTTTTTCACAGTACCACCAGGCAAATGGTGATTGGACTTAGTATCCATAATCAGGTGACAAGCACCAAGACTTTTGGATACATTATTTACTAATAATCAGCCATTTGATACTACGTACCTATATAGTTTCCACTACAAAGTGTGTTGTGAAATCATGAAAGGAAATGTGGTGCAGGAGCAGTTTTGAATGTTATTAATAGTCGGACACAACTTTCAGCGCCAGAGGAGATACTGTCCAACATCAAGACTGAGCCTGATGACAGCGAACTGGAGCTACAGATAGCCCTCAAGAAAGCACCGAGAATGAAGCTGCAGGAGGCTGTTACAGAATCAAAGAACAATGTAGAAAAGGTACATCACATCAGCAGATTTCTTTTTTAATCCTTCTCACAAATGTTTGGCTGTAGTAGGGGACATTTCTCTTGTTCAGTCAAGGCCATCTTCCCCTTACCTGCCTGAGACAAGAGAGGAGCAGCCCTATGGATAGGTGGTGGGAGGTGATGAAATTGTCCCTAACAGAAATGAGTACCAGGAATATTCTTGGGGGATAAAGGGCGGCCAGCATGCAAGGCTGACAACCTCACCGCCATCTGTGAGCTTATTGTCGAGAAAGTATGGAAGTCTCGACGTCTCGCACCCCTATGGGCCTCCACGGCCTGTTACAGGGAGAGCTCTACCTTTTTTTTAATACTATTCTCCTTTCTTGTATTTTGGTTATTGAGACCTGTTATGGCCTCCTGTCAAATAGGCACCAGGGGCTGTTTCCTCAGGTGTGGGAGGGGCATGGAGCTGGCCACTCACCTACATCTAGAGCATAACTAATTAAGCATAGGGACAGCTTTGCATTTATGGATACTACAAAACAGAATTCTGTATAGCTACATAATTTAACTATTTGTGATTTGTGATGTTTGTAGGTGGCAGAGTCAGTACTGGAGAGAAACACGGAAGGTGGTTCCATTGTGCTGACTGTTACGGCAGAATTCTGCCGTACGTTGGGTGACATCCCCACTTATGGTCTGGCTGGCAACAGGGATGAGGACGCTCAGGAATACTTGTGAGTGCAATATAACCATCCACAGATAAATGTACACTTGGCAAGGCAATTTGATTTAGCATGTGTCGAGACTAGATACAGTCCATTGCCCATGTACAGTTATTTACTGCAGCTGCAACAGAATTAGAATATATTTTAATTACAGTTGGAATTCCACAATAATGGATATATAAATTACTGAACTGGAAACATCCAACAGAAATCCTAGAAATGAAAGCAATCATTATACAATAAGAATGTGATAGTTGAGATGGTAGAACCTTTTTCTTCTTCTTCTTGACAAGTGGTACCTTCTGGAATAAAATCTGTATAATGTGATAAGGTCCATAAGCATTTTGAAGGAATGTTAGTTGATTTCCCAGAAGATAGTGCCTTTCTTAATCTCCTCTACAAGAATTTCAAATCCGGTCTTTTTTTTCCCCCCATATTTTATTTCTTTTTCCTCCCTGTGCAAATATCATGATACAAGGGTAGAAAAGACTCTACTAGGAATTATATGTGAAATTGAAATAGGGATGAATAAATAGCTCAGAACATAACTAAATGAAAAAGCAATAGTTCTTGTAATTTTATTCATTGCAAAGTGAATTGAATGTTAATTGTCACAGTATTCTCACTGCAAACTCAGAAGTAGTTTGGCAGGTGTATTGCTTGGTAGAATGAGAGTTTGTTTCTAATAGATGTGTAACTTTAAAGCATACTATGATATTAAAAAGATATTTTGGCAAAGAAGTTTCAGCATGATCAGTATAGTCAGAACAATTCTGTCTTCTGGGGTATCATCCGAATTTCCGGGGGAACATGTCATCTGAATCTTCAGGATCAAAGAATAAACAAAACAAGAAGCCAACAAGAAGCAGGTAGGAAGCTTGGCTTTGTTACCTGCCAGCGCTGGTTTCTTGCTTGATTTATTCTTCAACTGTGAATATGGAAGCAACATGTTTATGCAAAATGTCTGTTGGCTTTCGACAGACTACACGTNTTAATCATTACTGTTTAATATTAGTAGCAGTAGGATAGTTGGTTGAGGCACTGTGCTACAAGTTGGAAGGTCGGGGGTTCAAGTTCCGATGAGGTCATTAATTTTTTTCAGTTGACGTAATCCTTCCAGCTGCACTGTGGCCCTGGGGTTGACTCAGCCTCTTAACAGA